TAGGATCAAACCTGGCACTCCAACATTGTGAAGTGCATTTGCAACGCCTAGCCACAGATGCTGATACATACATACAAGCATTTTTTTAAAAACCCTTTCAAGGTTAAAAAATAAGAGGGTTGTATGAATGAATGAATATCAAATAATCAAACAGTGTTATAAGGCAATTGTTCCTCTTGTATTTGTTATTTTCCTTACTCTATTCAGTAACTTGTTTCAATTTCATCATTGTACTTTCTGTAAACCAGATAGTTTTTCATTCTTTTGTCTCCACTATCCATACAAATATCCTTCACATTCAATTTTATTTTAATAAAGGCTCCAGTCACTTTTTTCTTTATTTTCTATTGTCTTGACTCTCTCACCCAGGAATTGTCCACTTTTAGCCGTATTATTCTTTTTAGGCTTATAATCTGTTTGTGCCACAGCACTGTTCCCTCTTTCCTAAAAAGGCTTGTCATGCAGAACCAGGCATTCTGTCTGCCTGTTCATTTCCCAACACACCTGAACACCCTGGAGAAAATATTCAAAGAACAGTTTGAGGATAACCGAAGAGTGCCAATACATTCCCACAGAATATCATTCCTTCCTAACTTCTGGGTGGTGGCCCTCTAGCCTTGTGTGTGTGGTGTGTGTGTGCGTGCGTGTGGAAACTAGTGAAAACTAAAGTGCATGACTAAGTATCAGAAAGATTTAGCCAGACATTTCTAAAATATAGACAGTCACAATGAACATAAACACAATATGAGAACAACACAAATATGCAACAATACATATACTGAAATTAGTATTAGAACAGCTTAGCTCAGATTTTATAGTACAGTTAGGCTAAACATAATCTGTTGTTTGGTATACAAGAACAGTATCTGATTACACTTTGCTGTTGTTTGGTATACAAGAACAGTACCTGATCACACTTTGCTGTTGTTTGGTATACAAGAACAGTACCTGATCACACTTTGCTGTTGTTTGGTATACAAGAACAGTACCTGATCACACTTGGCTGTTGTTTGGTATACAAAAATAGTTTCTGATCACACTTGGCTGTTGTTTGGTATACAAGAACAGTATCTGATCACACTTGACTGTTGTTTGGTATACAAGAACAGTATCTGATCACACTTGACTGTTGTTTGGTATACAAGAACAGTACCTGATCACACTTGGCTGTTGTTTGGTATACAAGAATAGCTTCTGATCACACTTGGCTGTTGTTTGGTATACAAGAACAGTATCTGATCACACTTGGCTGTTGTTTGGTATACAAGAATAGCTTCTGATCACACTTGACTGTTGTTTGGTATACAAGAATAGCTTCTGATCACACTTGGCTGTTGTTTGGTATACAAGAATAGCTTCTGATCACACTTGACTGTTGTTTGGTATACAAGAACAGTATCTGATCACACTTGGCTGTTGTTTGGTATACAAGAATAGCTTCTGATCACACTTGACTGTTGTTTGGTATACAAGAATAGCTTCTGATCACACTTGACTGTTGTTTGGTATACAAGAACAGTATCTGATCACACTTGGCTGTTGTTTGGTATACAAGAATAGCTTCTGATCACACTTGGCTGAACAAGTTAGATTCCATGATAAATCAAATAAGCAGATTTTTCATTTTTTTTTTCAGTTAGAACATTCTATATTTTCTGAAAGCAACAGAGTTCCCAAATCCAACAAATACTGTGCCTTCCTATTTTCAAACTGTTCACCTCGAAGTGCCGACAGCTGCGAACTCACTGATTGGGCCCCGTTGTCCGTGCCTGCGGTAGTGAAGAATGTTTCCCAAAAATCTGGAGTCTCACATTCCTGCAAATGTCTACATTGTAGTGATCCTCTCATATCCGTAATTCCATGATCTGAAGTGTCAGGGGGTGTAAATGGGAATTGTGAGCTGTCCAAACCTCTTGCTAACTCTTCTGACTTTGCTACATTTGTATCTTTATCTACACATTCAGAAGGTCTTGTCTGTTTTCTAACTGCATGTGGTGATAGGATATTTTGGTTATCAGCAAAGCTTTTTAGAGTTCCCTTCACTTCTGGAAATGGATGGGATATTTCAACACACTGACTTCTGGTGTCTTGGGTAACACAGTCAAGATGCTTACTGTTTGAAAGCCCTTCAAGGCCAGCAGAAGAGGCTGTGTACTCACTCTGACTGTTAGAAAGTCCTTTAGGGCCAGCAGAAGAGATTGTGTACTTACTCTGATTGTTTGGAAGTCTTTCATGGTTAACAGAAGAGGCTATGTGTCTACTGTCAGAATATGCATCATCTATTGACCAAATGTGATTCTGACTTTTTGACAATGGATGAGAACAGTTGTCATTTACTGCAGGTTCTTGTGACAAAAGCTCCATTCCTTCAGAAAATGAGATAAACTCAGTTTCATCTATGCTGAAATCCTTGTCATGTAACCGTTGATGTGCATGTCTCTGACCAGGTTTAGATTGATCTCCAGTACAGTTTATGGATTCTTTATTCGATCTGCAAAATAAACATTCACTTTCACAACCATGCAAGCAATTCTCTTTGTTACAAATGCTTCCAGACATCCTGAAATACTTTTCACAACTAAGTATAGAGTTCAACTCCTTGTGTGTCCTCAGAGGTTGTCTACATTGCACAATCTCTCTTTCATTATGATTCATGTGCCCGTCTTCAAGTATGTTGGAACTGTGCAGAGACAATGGTAAATCACTTGTGTTATTCTGACTGTGGTTCTGTGTTAAACTTGTCTCATCACTAATCTGGTGTTTATTCTCTGCTCTTATCAAAATAGGTTGACTTTTCTTATCACAAATCTGATGTTTGTTTTCTGTTCTCACTTGAAAAAACTGTTCACACTGGTAATCTTCAGTATCACAACAGATGGATGGTGGTGCAATTTCCTTTGCTTCTTTCATTCTTGTCTTCACTTTATCTGCAACAAGTTTAGAAAAAGAAAAAAAAAGACATTTCTATAATAAAAGAGGATAATTGGCTCAGTCAAGTTGCCATCTGGGTGTCTATACTTGTGCTGGACTGGCAAATCAACATATGTTTTATTGTCAGTGTCTAACGCTTTTCACACTGATCTAATGTGTTAGTTCCTTTATGGATAAACAATCCAATTTTAATTGTCCAATATTTATCTACTGATACAAACCTTCTAATTCAACTCAATCTCAATAAACCCAAATGAATAAATAGTTTTCCCTGTGTTCTAAAAGTTGAGAATTCAGTTTAGAACAAAATGCTTCAGCTCCCAAGTGCAGGTTAAAAATAACTACACTGAAATGTGTTGTCTCCAAAGGTCACCAGCAACACAAAAAGGGATGATCACATAGACACCAGCATAAAAGAAAATGTTGGAACAAGACTATGCCTGAGTTACACTGAAAGACAGAGCCCAAAGGTTGACCATCTAGTAAGAATGCAGCCAGACAAAATTGTATTATCTTGCCAAAAGATTGGAACAAATATCCATCCCTCAAGAGTGCAGGAAAACGTCAACACGGCAACAGCGTCACAGAAGATTTTATATACCATGAAAATGTAATGTTCCTCATCTACCTTGTGAGTGTCTATTCGTGTGCTTCTTATATGAGGGTTCTCAGGAACTCTCTCTCAATCCATGTCCCTCATTTATATGAGCAACCTGTCTTTAGATTTCCACGCTGTGTATATATTATTGCTTAGTTACATTGGCGCTTAGATCCGTCCCTCAGTACGAACCCTAGCGTCCGGTGGCTAATAGTGCCAGGTCTATGTTGATTAACAAGTCATCTGGTGTGCATCTCATTGTTTGCTATGCCAATCTTGACTCCCAAGTATATAATTCTGGCAGGTGAAGTGGATTTAATGTCCCCAAAGTCCTTAATCCTTCCCCTTTCTCTGAAGGCATTAATAATAGCCGCATGATCCATAGGTTGGCCGTCAGTAGTGATAGCGGATCCAGCCAGCCTATTAACACTTTCATTCCCATTGATGCCTATGTTTCTTGGAACGAAAATAAAGTTGACTCCACACACAGTGGACCTTTATAATGACTCAGTGACCAAACCTGCCTGAACCCTCCAGATGATATTGACTAAATCACTGAGTACACATGCACAGGCTGAATTCTGTGTTTAGAGCCACGTAAACGCTACTGCCATCAGCTCCATCGTCATGCTGCTGGTTGTCATGGAGAAGGCACTGTTGGCTTCTTTGACCATTTTTTACCGCTGAGCTCGCTTCTTTGTTAGCATATAACAGATTCGTCTGTGTAGATCAGTACATCTGCCTCGTCTGAATTTTTACTGACGACAGCGTTAACCTCTGCATTGACAGCAACAGAATTCTGCTCCCTGCATGGCCTGTTGAGTGTGGCAATACATGAAAATGTACAAATAAGCGCATGAGGCACGGGTATCCACTCTGCACCAGGAGTGATATCAGTTGGGCTGCCTATTTGCTTGACAAAATCTTCCGCCCGACTAAGCAATGATTATTATTATTGCTTGTTAAGGGTATACTGTCTGCTGACAGTCAAACCAATTCATCAGCTGTTCTCTCAAGAAATCTAGTTTTCACCACTACCTCTATTTTCTTTCTTTTAAAAACCAGAATTTTCTTTATCTTTGTGTTCACCAGCTGTAAACTACAGCAGAAAGATCTGACTGTTTATCCATTTTTAGACCCTAGCCTTGTTACATACAGAACCTGAGTTTTGTGTGCACATTCATTTTACAGATCAGGCTTATTTGTATGCAGACTGTTGGTTCCTAGCCTCTTAGGTAGATGCACTCCAACTTCAAAGGAGACATTATTAGTCGACTGTAAGGACGTGCTTGTTAGGAAGGCAGTCCATCTTTTTTTTTTTTAAACCACAACAAGGCCCCCAGAACCCACACGGAGGGAAAACAAGCATAAAGCCTCACATCTCTACTTCCTGCAGCAGAAATTAGCAACAACAAATATTTTAGAACCACTACCTAAAGTTTGTTTTCAAGTGAACCAGATTTAAACTGACCTCCCTTAGAGCCAAAGTAATCACCCAGAGTGCTCTGTCTGGTAGCCATCATCAGCTGTGGTGGTGGAGGAGAGTTTTGGGTCAAGTAGGAAGTGTAGAGGTTGAGCCTGGACTTGTTCCTAAGCATTGCTCTGGGCGGTGTACTTCTTGACAAAGGTCCCTTCTGTCTGGTGACACCTGACCTTTTCAAGAGAGCCTGTCAAACACAATTTAAACAAAAAACTGAAGTTCTATATGTGCTTTATTGTGGAAGAAGCTGCAGTAGTCTAGTGGCAGATATCTGCCTGCTGAACCATAGCTCTTGGGTTTAAATCTGCACCAGGTAGATCTGGGAGAAATTACCGTGGCTCCCAGTTCAGCTTAAAACAGGTACCAGATAATTTCCTGGGAAGTAAAGGTGGTAGGCATAATGCTGACCACATCACCCACTGAGTACAGATCAACCTATGAGGCTGGCAACATCACCCACTGAGTGCAGATCAACCTATGAGGTTGGCAACATCACCCAGTGAGTACAGATCAGCCTATGAGGCTGGCAACATCACTCACTGAGTGCAGATCAACCTATGAGGCTGGCAACATCACCCAGTGAGTACAGATCAGCCTTTGAGGCTGACCACATAAGGCCAGTCTGCAATTTAACTCGCCAGAATTTTTGCTGCAATTTTATTTACAAGTGACTTAGGCCCTGTCATGGTGGTGTGTTTTTGGCCGCCATAATATGTGGCCGTTATTCGGAGGATAGCCTCAAACATTTATTCACATTTTTTTAAAGCCCCACCCTGGCCTCACTGGAGGCCCTAATATAACTCAGCCTAATGAATTAGTATGGTCTGTTTTAAAGTGTAATATTGTGACAGTTTAAAAATTGCATTATTACCATCCCTATGGCCTCCTATGCTAATCCCTTGGAACACAAAGTCAAAGAGTTAAAACAATTCAGATGAGTAAGTAAATTGTACCTCACCAGGACATCACTGATCTGATCATGGTTTTCGGGACGTCTACATGGGTGATCCTTTTCTTCATGGTGGCACTTTGTGTCACCATGCGGATACGGATCACCCATGTAGACGTCCAGAAAACCATGTTTATCCGTTTAGGCCATATTTATGGCCCGGCTATATTTAGGGCCCCGGTAAAAGCCAAGGTGGGGCTTCAAATAACAGAAAACTCGCGTCCCACATGGGGACGACTAGGATGATAAAATTAAAAATGTATTGTTTAGACTTTAGAAGAAAATGTCAACAACACAAACCTTTGGTGGGTGTGTTTTTGACAGCCAGGCATCGCACCTCTCATCCATGTTTAATGGTGTCACTGACAAAAGTAAACCTGATTATATTCGACAAAAACAGCGACAGAACATCAGCAGCAGCATCAGTGATCGTACCGCCATCCACACACTCCATGAAAGTATGAAACCACCGACCGAACTTGGCGCCGCCGTCCCTCAGGGGAGGCCACTGTCACCGATAATGTCCGGTAACCAAACAAAACTGGCAGGCAATAATGAAAGCAGGGTTGCCATATTGGCATTTTTTATGCCAGATTCCACAAATCTGGCATATTTGAAATTGAACTTGCATAAGATAAGATTACAGACAGGTTCTAAGAATATCTTGGGTAAAGAAAAGAACAAATGCATCCATACTTCAAGAGCTGAATATTGAAGAGGGTTGGCTAGTAAAGACAATAAAACAAAGAAAAATGAAATATTTTGGTCACTTGAAACGTCATGGAAGTCTCGAGAGAACAATAATGGAGGGGTATATGCCTGGGAAGAGAGGAAGAGGAAGGCCAAGGAGAAGATGGGTGCAGGATGTGGCAGATGATCTCCAGATGGGTGTATCAGACGCAGGACATCTTGCTCAGGATAGGAAGGTTTTCCGGAGGGTTGTTATGGCAGCGAGGTTCCGCGAGGGACATGCTACTGAATGAATGAATGAATGAATAAGATAAGGAACTGGCATATTCTGGCATATTTGGGTTTTTCCTGGCATTTCTTATCAAGATGTACTCACATTTTCTTCATGGTTCCTCTGTTATAAACACGCAAATTTACTAAAAGCAATGTAAACCTACAGTTAAAATCTTTATTTCAGTTAGACTTTGTTGTGATGTCCTGGTACGGACTAACGGAGATTCGCGACATTTCTTATTGTTTTGTTGTTTTCTAATTGTTTTGTTGTCTTCTTATACGGATCGTGACTGCTATAAACCTCTGTAATTTATGTTAATTTACTAGAATATATGCGAGATATAAAACGAAAACCCACCACTGATATCAAGTGATTTAGACTGTTCAGAAACTACTTGAGGACAGATAATATATAGGATATAGACCTAGTTCTATCTGTGATAGATTTTATTACTTTTACCAATGGCCACGTCATCCAAAAAATGGAAAGCATCTTTTGACTGCAATCGCAAGTATAATAGTAATTGGGAGAAAACATACTCATGGCTCAAAAGATCTTCAGACGGATAAGAGGCAGCATATTGTAAACTGTGTCGGTGTCTGTTGCACCAAGAATTACTAGCATTTCAAATCATAAAAAATCAGTCACAGCTTATTACAACAATAACTCCTAGGCAAAGTAATGATAAAGTTAAAGCAGCAGAGTTACAACTTGCTGTAAGCATGACCTGCCATTGTGCAATACGCACAATTGATCATTTAAGTGAAATCACGAGAGCGCATGGTCAGGGGGGTACATTGGAGCACATACAGTTGCATAGAACTAAATGTTTGTGCTTAATAAGAAATATTATATCGCCTGCACTTAAGGATGACCTTATTGATGATCTTCGGAACAAGAAATATGCCATAATTATAGATGAGTCTACTGACAAAAGGTGTGGTCAGAGTCTTACAAATTGCATTGGGTTTGCGTCAGATGGCGCTTCAAACATGGTCGGGTGCAAGAACTCTGTATGGTCCAGAATTAAAGATGTGTCTCCTTCGCCATCAAATATTGGTTCCTTACTGTCAGAAATACCTCAGTGGTTTTGTCATAGTGATTTAAGATGAGAAGCCTATAAAGAACTGTTTAGAGTGATGAACACATCTACGGAGTTTGAATCAGAACGAACTGTTCCTCTTCCATTTGAGAAACTGTCATCTACTAGGTGGCTTGTGCGTGGAAAGATTATGTTCAATATGTTGATGAACTGGGAAGAATTGGAAGCTTATTTCACGTGTGCATAATTAGCACAGACAACGTTTGACACAAAATATAAAGTAAGATTGTGAAAGGAAATGCTGTTATACCATAATAATTATTTGTACTTTGTGTTTGCGACACCAATTGTACAAGAATTTGAAAGACTGAACAGTCTTTTTCAATAAACAAAAGGTGATCCTCATGAACTACACCAAGAATTGTCCATGTACCAGAGAAGTCTTAAGAACAGACTGTATGACATCGATGAGCAGAACAAACATATTCATCTCATTGACTTTGGTATTAAATTCCTAACGGAATGTAATGCGTTCCTACAGAAGAATAACGGGACTGAAGCTCAGATAGAAATAAACAATGTTAATGAAAGATGCATGTCTGTGCTAGAGAAAGCTCTCAATCAAATTACGTGTAGACTTCCCACCGAGAATATATTTCAAAATCTGTCAAAATTGAGCCCTTTTGGCAGTTTTAAATCAAATATCAAGGACGCAGTTTTCAGAGCTACCATTTTTACACCTGGCAGAAAACAACATCAGTATTATAGAAGGACAGTACAAAAAATTGATTCTTGTCAACTGGAAAGAAGAAGCTACATTTAAGAAAGATGGACTACCTACAAACAGGGAAGATTTTTGGATAGGCGTACTTCGACACTAGGCATTTAAAGAGTTGGCCACTTTCGCCCTTACTTGCTTAATGATGCCCGTTAGCAATGCTGTAGTTGAGAGAATATTCTCTCTTGTTACTTCAACTAAATCAAAAGCAAGAAACAAAATACGACTGGATTTTCTTGATGCAGTCTTCAGAATTAGAGCAGAACTATTGATATCAAAGAAATGTCAGAATGTGTCAGAAGTTTTTTTTTTTTAAATTGCATTAGCCATTGCTAAATTTTGAGGCAACTTCTAATGACGTTTTAGTGCATAATTTTAGGAAGCCTATTTAATTACTTTGCAAGTACAATTTAAAGGATTGTAAAATATGCACTCCTAGGTTGACGGAAGTCACTGTAACTTAACATTACTTTTTACTTTAACTACCGACCCTAGTGAAATTAATCTATTATTTATGTAAGTTCACATAATACATGTAATAACATTCTTTTATATTTAATAATTAATATTGTTTGTGATTAGGATTAAGGTTGAGGTTAGAGTTGGGTAAAACCCTAAATTCGAACCTCAACCTTAACATGAAGCAATATTAAATATTACAGAGCATGATTATTTGAACGTACACAAATGATAGATTACAACCTTGCATTGGCGACTATTGTTAGATGTCACAGCCATCTCCTTGTGAGATGCAATTTTTCGTGTTTTTTGAAGCCCCACCATGGCTCTTCTCAGAGGCCGCTATAAAGCCCGACCATAAATATGGCCTAATGGCTGAACGCGATTTCCGGGACCTCATCTGCATGGTGGCACTTTGTGTCATCGGGTGTTTATTGCTTGTGTGATATCCTGGTGGGGTAAAAGTACTACTACTACTACTACTACTGACTATTGCAGATAGGCTAAAGGTGCTGCATATCATAGTGGGTCGTAAATTTAGGGGATGCACTTTTTCATTATTTTGAAGCCCCACCCTGGCTGTTGCAGGGCCCTAGTATAACCTAACGGCTGAACGGGGTTGCCATGACCACTCCACGTGTGATCCTTATCCGCACAGTGGTACTTTGTGTCACCGGGTGTTTATCGCTTTGTGTGATGCCCTGGTGGGGTGCTGCAGGCTAAGTCATACTTCAGAGTACCTGCAGATAAAGACCACCCTCTGTATGAAGCTTTTAATGCAGTTAAGCGTCAGAGGCTGAAAGGGGGAAATCATGGATGGCTCAAGCAGAAGACACAGTAAGACAAGTATGCATGCTGAAGAACATTGGCGAGGAGAGGAGTGGGTCAGAGTACCGGAGAAAAATCTTACTTATATAGGGTCATGATCACATTATGCTGGGAGTGCAGAGAGTGGCCAGTGGGGCCTACGGAGGTGTAAGTCCAACAGTTGATTC